CAGTATGGGATATTTTGTGTCGAATTCTGAGATGAAAAGGCTGCAACATGGCAAACTGTAGAACAAGTATAGCACTGTGAATACTTTCTGGATTTACAGTTTTCTCTGTAAAACTCTATTCTCTTGCTTCTTTAAATTCTGCAGGGCCAGATGGCACAATTATAAGTTATTGATTACCTACAGTATCTATGTAGAGGTGTCAGGTGATGACCTTTCTTTGACCGGTGGTCCGTGCACTTTTGACACAGTCTGTTTCACACATTATTCAGGTGCTTTCTCTTCCTGACCTCGTGCCTGGTCAGAGTGCTGTGGTGAACTTTGAGATCCAAAACCACGGTGCAGCACGGAACTTCAGTTGGACAGCCGATGATGACTGTGGATATCTTCTTATGACAGAGCCCCACAGGTAGATCAAAATGAAAATACATCTTGCTCAGGTACAAAGCAAACTTCAAAGAACTTAGACTGCCATCCCGCTTCTTTTGTCACCTTCGCTGGCATTCTCTCACCTTTGAAAACTATGTAAACTTAGTAACCCAAAATATTTTTTAAATTATACAGTTATGTACAAAAGTCTTGAGTCACCCCTCAATTCTGCTCTTCATATCAGATTGGCTTTCTAATTTTCTTTTTTGCTAGTGGATATATTAAGGGTGTGCACCTATTGCAGTGTGCACTTGTGCTTTAGATGGGGAAAAGAACCAATTTAAAATTTTAACTTTATGCACTTTGTTATTAAAACACATAATTTGTTCCCATTTCTTTTTAATGAAAATTTCAAAGATAACACTGTGAAACAGTAACAAAATGTACCAACAAGATTATTCAAAAGAACTATTAGCTGAGTAGTGTGTCATTAAAAAGTGTGAGGAAATTAGACCAGTTGCGGACAAAATAAGAAGTGGCATGCCCACTTAACTATCCATAGCAGATAAAGATGCCTATAAAGGCCGTCATGAAGCCATCCCCAAGGAAGGGAAACGGGAAAAAGCTTAGATATGCCAAATTATGGACTGATTGGCAGTGGCTTAATTTTTCATGACAATGATCCCAAACACACTGCCAGTGCATTAAAAGCATACCTGGATAGAAAAACACAAAGTAGAACACTATTATTCATGGATTGGCCTCCCCAGAGCCTGGACCTCAACATTATTGAAGCAGTGTGGGATGATCTTGACAGAGGGTGGAACAAAAGGCAGCCGGCATTCAAAGAGGACCTTTGAATGTCTTTTAAGAAGCCTGGAGACCTATTCCTGAAAACTACTAAAAGAAAGGAGATAAAACCTTGCATCTATTTCACATTTTAAGAAAAATATAAATTATTTGATGGCTGGTTCAAAACTCTGGCACAGTATTGTAAGTATAAGTTAAATGATTTCACAATTCATGTTTTTGCCCTTCAGCTTTCTTGTAGCAGAACAAAGGTCTTTTCGTGACCAGGTGTACCTCCAGACTCCAGCCACAGCGCAGGCAGGGGTGACAGTCACCCTTACACTGACTGTAAATGATCTTCATTCTGCTGACTCAAATTATGCAGTGGCCTACTTGACTGTGGTCCCTCGGGTGAGCAATAAGAGAAACTGCAGGATATTCTGCTGAAAACTTGTTTTTTGGTTTATTGTGTATATGATGATTTTCTCTTGCCTACAGGATTCAGACACGTCCCCACCATCCTGCTCTGCAGCACGAGTCCAATCTAACTGTTCTGCAATTTGTAACGCGACTAGCTGGAGTGTGTCTCTGTCTGTATCAGATATCGGACACTCTGGCCTTGATGCTCTGCAGCTACATGAAGGTGAAGGTATTCTGATTTTATTTCACAGTAACCCAACCTCAGAGGACAGCCTTGGAGAGCCTGGCATTGAGCTGCAACAGACACAGAGGGATAAATCAACAAATGGAGACTACCACCACCACCAAGAGCAACACAACCACAAGGCCAGATTAGAGACGGGGGGCCCCCCTTTGAATATTTCAGAATGGTCGCTGGATGTATCTCAGCCACTGTTTGTGAGCTACACATCCAGCTGCTGCTCTACTCAGGCAAAGATGCTGGTTTGGGACAAAGCTGGAAACATGAAACGCTGCCATCTAACAAATGGTCAGAAGAGGCAGCTACAAAACAAGAGTACAGAAACCAGTGGGACTGGACAGAAAATGCCCACAGGCTTCTTTTTCTTGCTGTTAGGCCTGCTGTGCTTTCCTCTGCTTTAGCCCCGTGTGATTACAAATGTTTTGCTGGTCAAACTTATCTGTTGATGACTTGATACAGAGCTTGCTCTACTGTATTTTCAAAGGCAAAATCTGAAGCACCAATAATTTTTTTTCATATTGATATTCAAAAGATGCAAATTTGCAAAGAATAAAAAATCTTTTATTGCACTTCCTTTTATTTTTGCTACAACTAGATTTGTATGCCTGTCACGTTTAAGGCTGTGTGAGAGGTCGATTCATTTGTAGTTTGTACTTGGGGAGCAGCACCAATAACACCAAGGCAAGCTTTAATACTGATAGATCAAAACATAAACAAAGTTCAGAATCTAAGAAAATAATTACAAAAACAGAATACATAAAAATCAGAGATTAGTTAGGATACAGGACTCCACAAAAACACAGAATGCACAGACAATATAAAGACAAGGTAATGAGGGGAGTTGGAACTGGTGGGAAACCAAGCTGGAGACAACTAAACAAATAAGATGGAAGGAACAACACTTGCCAAAAGAAAACGGGAAGAGTGACACAACTGAATGTGCACCCAAGATCAACTTGACATGCGAAAAAAAGTCCAAAAAAAGAGACAAGGCTGAAGGAACATGAAGTTATCTATAACCAAACTATAAAGGCACAAATTACAAACCATAAACAACCAAAACCAAGCATCACACCAACCATCACCTCTATGCATTTCATTATTAGTTATTACTAATCTCTGCAAGGGCGTAGATTTGTCATGGACTGAAGGGACGTGTCCCCACCAATATCCAGCGATTATTGAATTGTCCCCACCAATAATTTGATCCCTTCGAGTAAAGAAAAACAACCCGATAGAAAGAAAACCTAGTAGCAAGCTGCGAGGAGAAGAGGAGGATGGCAGCAAAAAGGAAGAACCTGGATATAAGAAAGTATTTTTCAAAGAAACCTGTAAGTCACTTAAAGTCAAGTTCACTCATATAATGTGTCCGTCACAATAACGTTACAGGCTATGCTAGGCCATACATGCCAGCACTCCCGATTTTTCCGGGGAATCCCGAATTTCAGTGCCCCTCCCAAAAATCTCTGGGGGCGACCATTCTCCCCAATTTCTCCCGATTTTCCACCCGGACAACAAAACTGGAAAACCATATCCCAGACTGGCCCAGCCAATTCCAGTTTCCAACAATGGCTACTATTACTGCAGCTAGTTTCACTCTTATTACTCTTTCTGGGTCGCAAAATAAACTTTTAACACATTTTCAGGCGAGAATGTAGCTGTGTAAACGTCAAATAACTTAATGGCCAAGATGAAATAATGCATTTCTTAACACATTAAAAAAAAAAGAAAGAAAAGAAGTTGTTTTAAGATGATATCATGGAGACATCTGACAAATTTACAAAACAGTATCTGTATACCACTAGTCAGGGTAATATTAAAGAGTGGCCCATGATAAGAATTGACTGATGGGTCTTCACTTTTCTTCTCTGACGTCCATTTATCTAGAAAAAGAAAGTATTGAAAACTCTTAGTGTCTTTAGACCTTAAATACAATCTGGCAAAGCTGGAAACAAAGAATTTTGCAGAGTCATGCACCTTGTTTATATTTAACTGAAAAATCCCACATCCCACACAAATGTACTGAGAAACTTTCCTTTGTGCTTCAGCTGTAGGACTTTAACTTAAATATTTAAACTAAAATTTAATATTTAACTACTTTCCTACGAACCTTGCTAAAACCTGTTACTCAGTTATTCATTTGAAATTCGGCTGTCCCCACCTTCTGGGCCAGCCTTAGAGAACCAATCAGAAGCTACTGCAACCACAAACACAAACTCACAGTTAAATTAGAGACAGGAGACCCCAATTTTAAGTGCACCTCCTCTTCCTCTCCCATCTTTTAACTCGCAATCTTCTCATGGCCTTAAATGGTTTGCTTTAAACTTTTACTTTGACCAACACAAAAGCCTGGCAAGTATAGCTTAACGATCGGCAGTTGTGACATAGTGATGCAGCACAACTAAATTTTAACCCCTCCTATATCTGAGATGCATCTTGAAAAACATAGACCCCAACAAGTTAAAAGTGAAACTGTTGGGTCTGTGTTTCCACAAGCCCCGCTAATTCTAGAGACTTATTCATCATGAAGAAAACAAGACAGTCGATCAATCGATTATTTGCACAAGGGAGGCCTCGTCTGTGTCCACCACGAAAATGACCCCCAGATCTGACCTCCTCCTGCTACCTTTTATTGAGAGACAGTTCACACAAAACACGTCAGAACAAAGCCACGCCCCCTTGGTTCTAAGACAAAGCATTTATGTATATGTGTGAACTTCTGTAAGAGTGCGTGTGTTATGTGAGAATGTGTGTGTGTGTGTGTGTGTGTGTGTGTGTGTGTGTGTGTGAGACCTCCTGCTGACCAAATGGTCGTAAACCCAGGAAGCTTACATCAAAAGAAACAGATCTTTCAGATAGGATGTATCTACAATAAAACCTCCCCCAGCACAGGGTGGTTGGAGAGGTGGTCAGGATCAAAGGAATGGCTTTGATCCTACTGTTTGAACTAAGACTGTACAAATTTAAGAAACACAATGGCAACATTCAACAATTAGACTTAACAGAAACCTTTGAAACCTTTTTTTTTCATCCAGTTACTCTCCTGGAGTTAATTAATTTTTCTACTGAAAACTTATTAACTCATTCTTCAACACAGAATTGGCAGAGAATATAAAGGCAGTGACGATTAGAGCACCAAGCGCAGTGCCACCCTGAACCTTTAGAAATGATGAAAAGAAAATCTATGCAGAGAGACACACAGCCAGAGGTGGAGGAGCGAGGACACTGGGGAAATAAGGTGGAATTTCTCCTTGCTGTGGCGGGAAATGTTGTCGGCCTGGGGAACGTGTGGAGGTTTCCCTACCTCTGTTACAAAAATGGAGGGGGTAAGCAAATGAGGAACTCACTACATTAAAGGTGTATTAATCTTGTAGGATTATATTGATTGTGCAAAGCATGAGCTAAATAAATTACAAAACAGTACTAGTTCAAGGTCTATTATTACTAGTTCACAGTCACTGAAATGAGACTGAAAGTGTGACTTCAAACTCCATTGGTACTCTAGGAAATGTTAATTTTATCACTTGAGGTAGCTCACATGACAACTGTAGGTGAAGTCAAGCAGGGCTCTCTATCTGTTTGAAGCATTTTGGATTTGGCAGCAGGTTGATTCCATCAAATCTGATGCCAGCATCCAAAGTGGAGACTCTGCTCCACTGAATTCAATAGCATCCAGTCCTCAGGCAGCTTGATTGTTTGCAATAGAATCATTATAATTAAAAAAGAAGAAAACAATATTATTAGTTTATAAAAATCTGCCTCTTGTAGTTTTTTTGTGAATTCAACTTTCACAAAGTTCTAGTAAAAAGTAGTTGTAGCAGCAGTAGTAATAAAAGTACTAGTCAAACAATTCATTAGTAAAAATTTCCTTTAATAACTTCCCAATATGTCGTCTTAATTTTGGTAGTATGTTTAAACAACTGATATATGTTTTGTTTTTAAAAGCATATACCAGGTCCGTATTTAACTGAGTAAGCTTGTTACTCAGAAGCTGCACAACAGGTATGTTTACTGTGTATGTTTTTAATTCAGGTGCATTCCTGGTGCCATATCTGGTATTTGTGGTAACCTGTGGTGTACCCGTGTTCTTGCTGGAGACAACTATAGGGCAATTCACCCAGGAGGGTGGCATTACCTGCTGGAGGAAGCTGTGCCCATTAGCAGAAGGTAAGCTGTTCAGGGATCGTTAACAAGAAAACATCATGTTATCCTTCTCTTCAATGGCCATTTATTCACAGTCTTGCACAACTGTGTCTCAAAATGTAGTGAACAAGTTAATAAGTATTTCAAGTTAAGCCAATTCTGTACTTATCACAATCTTCAAGTTCAAGCCTTAACTGAGAACTGGTAACATTGTGTTTTGCAAGTAATTCTCAGTGATTTGCTACTAGGCAGTTCTAAAGGAACAAGATGTAATTTCTATGCATTTAAATTTAATATGTTAAGACTAATATTATGTGTGTGGTTCACTTTTCTACATTATCTCAAATATTTCCCATGATGTTCAAATTAGAAATACTAAATTTTATTAAATATTGGAATGTGTTTGTCCCGTTTACTGCAGACTGCTACCCAGCTAATGTATAAAACAGTGTTTGTGGCACTCTTTATTTATGTTTTTAAAGGAATAGCACTGGACTATCCCACAACTGAATTCTACACATAAAAGCTACTGTAGCTGCAAGTTTTTGGACCCATTATATTTTAAGTTAGCAATTAGCAACAGAATGCAAGCAGCCTGAAATAAAAGTGGACTTTAAAGTTGCATATTATTACGATGTATTATTATTATTAGGATTTTGGCCTGAAAAGTCTTAACATTTTGCTGAAAGCATTGAAAATACAGGCAAGTAACAATTACAGCTCACCCAACTTTTCACTAGGCTTCCTTTTCGCATGTAACCTGCTACAGTAACTTGACATATTATTGTAGCAAAAATCTGAATATGTATTTCAAAACCCACACACAAATCAAATATGCTCATTCAAAATGAAACACACACACACACACACACACACACACACACACACACACACACACACACACACACACACATACAGACGTCCAATATATCCTGGGAAAAATAGGATCTCTCAATGCACAACAACCTTGAAGCAGATGTGCTTCAGCTGTAATCACACTAAGTGCCACTCAGATAAGGACCAGGAAACTGAGATTCACAGAATCTCACCAAAACTAGAGAAGAGAGCAAACTTTTTTTCTGATGGTAGGTTTGGCATAGAAGCATGAGTCCACACTGCCTTGGATCAGTGGTTCAGGCTGGTGGTGGTGCTGATGTAATAATATGGTGGATATTTTCTTGGTACACCGTGTGCCCTTAAGTACCAGCTGCACATCGTTTAAATGCCAGAGCCTATAGTATTGATGCTGACCTTGTCCATCACTTTATGACCAGAGTGTAGCCATCTTCTGATGGCTACTTTGAGCAGGATAATGTCATATTATCCTGTTATATCACAAAATCATCTTAAACTGGTTTCTTGAATATAACAATGAGTTCATTCAAATGGCCACCACAGTCACAGACCTCAAGCCAAAACTGCTGAGTAACCCTAAAACAACAAGAAGTCTGAGTAATTGATAAATGGAGATTTTTGTAATTATTATCTGTAAATGCCTTTCAGGGATAGGCTTTGGTGGACAACTAATCCTCTTCTATAGCTGTATGACCTACATCATTATTCTGTCCTGGGCTTTGCTCTACCTCGTGTTCTCCTTCAGCTCTCAGCTCCCCTGGGCCTCCTGCAACAACGACTGGAACACAGGTAAAATGCAAAGATTATTTCCATTTTCCAATAAAAAATTGTCAAAGTATGTTTAGGTATTTAAACTTTTGTTCTGATACTTTTCACACTCTCTTCTCAGAGGGCTGTGTAGACTTTTCAACAAAAAATAACACCGTCCACTGGACCAACCAGACAAACTCGACCTCTGCAGCCACCGAATTTTGGGAGTATGTCTATGTAGATGGACTGAAAAAGCCTACATACCAAGTTATTTAAAGCCCAATAAAACATTTCTGTACCTTTTCCAGCTATATATATCTATATCCTTCAACCTATTGATCTGTCTGTCTATCAATCTATATATTGTTTTTTTTACCTTCTGCATTTAATTGACTTCTAGACGACGAGTGCTGATGATCTCTGGGGGCATTGAGGAAATAGGCAGCATCCAGTGGGAGGTGCTGTTGTGCCTCATTGCTATGTGGATCGTCTGCTACTTTTGTATCTGGAAAGGAGTCAGATCTACAGGAAAGGTAGTTTTGCTAGTAAATACAGTGGGGGAATAATTATTTGATCCCCTGAAGAAATTATAAGTTTGTCCAAATACATGACTCTCTAATGACTCTCTAATTTAAATGGTAGATTAATTTCAGTGGAATGAGGCGGAATGTGACATAAAAGTTATAGAATTAATTGATTTGTATCTCATTGAATGAAATAAGTATTTAACTTCAAGTGTTAGCTACCTCCACAGATTTCCCATATTTTGTGGACAAAAATATAGAAAATTGTTAACAGATGGCAGAACGAAAAATGAACCTAATAACTGATAGGTTTGTAGCTTAAACCTATTCGCTGGAACGTTCAAGATAATTTAATTACACAGCAAAGCAAGACACGAGTAGGCAAAGTTCTTTATGTTTCTAGTGCACGGGAGAGAACTGGACAAACGCCGTTCCTTCGCTTGACCCCAGTTGCTCTCGTCCGCTCCCCCGTAACACTGCTCTTTTATTGAGGTACATGAATATGCAGGTTCATTAACATATGACGTCTACATACATTTTATTTAGGCGCAAAAACACAAAGGTACAAAAATAAGAAAAACCAAAAGCCAATAACTAATCAAAAATGTGAGAGACTAAATGCAGAGCAACATACAGGATAAATAGACATAAAACATTTTGTTTTTGTTTGTTTTTGTTGAAACAAGAGGCAAATTGGGCTGTGGAGAACAGACATGAATGCACACGAGAGACAGGAGAAATATGGAATGAAAAACAAGGAGGGGAACATGTAAAAAGAAAAGGGAAACAAGACGCAGAGACGCACACACACAACCAAATGCAACAAGGGAGCGAGGGACACAGGACAAAGGGGGGGAACAAAGGAAACCTAATAAACACGGAATTAAACTGAGATCACAAGAAAACTCTGAAGCAATAATAAGAATAAATTCAGGACTGCCTGTTGAAACTTAAGTCATAATGATAACACAAAACACTCAAAAAACAAAACAAAACCCCACAATAAACTCAGAAGCTGGCCCTAAGACCCAGAACTGTGACAGGAGCATCTGTAACTGATTAATTCATTGATTGATTGCAATCTGTGTGCCACATAGGCCACAACAGCAAATCTATGAGAACCAGAGTTCTGGCTAGGCTGTAAGGGCTCAAATACTTATTTCATTCAGTGACATTGAAATCAGTTTATAACTTTTATTTAATGTGTTCTTTTTGGGGATATCTTGTCTCCCCCCCATTAAAATAAAATTACCACAAACATTAGAGACTGTTCACTTCTTTATAGGCAATCAAACTTACAAAATCAGCTGGAGATCAAATAATTATTTTTCCTCACTGTAGCTCTATATACGGTATGTGTACATAGTACATATTGAGTAAACACTTAAATGCTCTGAAATGTTGCTTTTCCCCACAGGTGGTATATGTCACAGCTACTTTCCCCTATGTGATGTTGTTAATACTTTTGATTCGTGGCCTCTCTCTTCCTGGAGCATTCGAAGGAATCATATTTTATCTTCTGCCTGAACCCTCACGACTGATAGACCCTCAGGTACGAGCTCAAATCTCTAACAGTGTCTGACACAGGTGGACAAGTGTAATACTGTTGCTTTGTTGGAACAGGTGTGGATGGAGGCTGTGAGTCAGATCTTCTTCTCCTACAGTATCGGTGTGGGCTCCCTAACTGTGCTGGGAAGCTACAACAAATACAACAACAACTGCTATAAGTACATGATGATCAGTAGTTATTTACCTTAATTTTAAATAGATATTTAAATATTAACAACCTCATATTTTGTCACATGCAATGACTGCACTTTGCTTTTGTGATTTGCAGAGACTCTCTGATGCTGTGTTTGCTGAACAGTGGTACCAGTGTTGTAGCTGGTTTTGCTGTGTTCTCAGTGCTGGGATTCATGGCTCATGAGCAAGGTGTTCCCATTGCAGAAGTGGCCGAGTCAGGTATATATCACAAACATGCGATCATATTCTCCTGGACCCATAAATGTGACATAACAGTGATCCATAAATGGACTCAATCTTACATAACAATATTATGGGAGCATGTCTCAACTGGTCACAGACTTGGTAACAGAACGAGAAAGACTTTAAAAATTTCAGGGCTCTGTTTTAATTGTTAAGCTTGATTTGGGGGAATATTATTTTTTGGAATGATTTCTGTCAGGGCTCATTGTGCAGGCAGGTGGAGATGTGGATCCAAATGAAGGACTCTGAGATGGAAATGTAACTGAAGACCACACACAGCTTTATTGCTGGCACCAAACAAAAACAGAAATCAAACCATAAAACTGGAACACACAGGCAGGATGTGGGGGTACAAAGCGACACAGAGCACAGGAAAACACAGGGCTAATATACACAGGGTGGTAATCAGGGAATGGGCAACAGGAGGGAGACACAGCTGGGAGAAATTGGACTAACGAGACAGGGGAGCCGTAGAACTGAACACACTCACATGAGACACAGACCTTCACAATAAAACAGGAAACAAGAAACCACTAAACAAAGAGGCAGACAGAGAGGCAGACAGAATATAACACATGGAACTCAAACAATACATGAAACAACAAATCCTTAAACACGGATAAACAGAAACATGAAACTCTAATAATCATCACCACCACCATCACCACCACAATCACTACAAGAGAATAAGAAAACAATCCATAATCCAAAAGCACACCAAAAAAATAACAACTCAAAATACTGGGTCAAAGTGACCCAGAACCGTGACAGATTTCGACATTTTTTGTTTACAAAAGCTTAATTTCTCAGTAGTGAGTTTATACCTAATCTATGGGAACTTGTTTCCAGCACTGGAAGAAAAACAACGAAGTACTTTTGCCACTGAAAATTCAAAATTTACGATATCTAAGAAAACTTAATAAGAAAATCGGCAACATTTTCACACAATGTTGGCATCCAAACATTGTGTGAAAGTTTCCTTGTTATCTTGATTATAGGAAGAGGAGGAATGTGGAACAGAAGGATTGGTTTTTCTGTGGTATTCACATTTCTATAGGAAAACCGAATGCTTTGCTAAATGTTTGTGTCAGGAAGTTGACATTTTGTGATGCTTAACTTGAAATTAAGACTTAGGTCTCTGTGGCAAAAAATAATTTTTACAGCTGAGGAAACTAACTACCATACTAATCAGGTCTCAGCATCCTTTGAGTTCCAATAGTCAGACTATATTATGTGGGCTAAATCAGTCAGTGCCATTGTGCCATCACAGTCAAACACGTGAGTAATGGTGAAAACCTGATGTCATTTGATTTTTCCCTCTTAATATGAACAGGCACAGGTGATTGTTCAATTTTCTGCATTTCTGCTGTCATATTTATGCCATTACACACCACAAAACTGTACAAACTAAAACACAAACATTTACCACTGGCTGGCATGTTTGATATGTTCTGGCATCATGCTGTTGTGTTTCAGGTCCAGGCCTGGCGTTCATTGCATACCCTCAGGCTGTAGCCATGATGCCCCTGCCTCAACTGTGGTCCATCTGTTTCTTTGTTATGCTCATTCTCTTGGGTCTGGATACACAAGTAAGACACACAACTTTGGAACATTGCATTTATGCTTTGAAATTTACTCAGTGTGTTTTGTCCATTTTCTGCACAGTTTGTTGCCATGGAAGTAGTGATGACGTCCTTCATCGATATGTTTCCCAAAGTGTTGCGCAGAGCCGGCCGAAGGGAGATTTTTCTCCTTCTCTTCTGCTTAATATGCTTCTTCTCTCAGCTTGTCATGGTTACTGAGGTCTGTATGTAATGTATCACTGGTAGAAAATGTTTTGGAAATGTGTGTAGGGGTCTAAAAGAAAAAAATAAACATTACATATCCTAATTGTAATCCAGGGGTCCGTTCTTCGTACCTCGCTAAGTAAGTTAGCTGGATTTGATTGTTGACGATTTCGCGTGATCTTGGATCGTTCGGTTCTCCGAAGCTCATCCGGGACTTGCTGTCATAGCAACAGATCCGTAAGCGTAAACCTGCTCGGGAGCAGGTTTACTTTATGTAAACAAGATTAGATCGCGGCCACGCAGGTATGTCCGCTTCATGTATACGAAAGCCACAGCGATATTTTACCACTGTTTTTCCATAAATAAATATTATCAATGTAACTAAAGATAATGCAGTACTTGATCCTTTTATTGATACCATACAGATACATACAGGTCATTTCCTAAAAAAAGGGAAATGTACTATTAATCATTCTATTTCATGTATTTGATTATTTCAGATGTAATTCATATTTTAGAGTAGTAATTGTAAATTACTTCGTGTAATCAAGATGAGAGACCACGGCTATAAAAGCGAAGGTGGATTTGGGAAGTCTGTCGCAGTCATGTCCTGTCCGTATACGCGAGCAGCCCATTGCGGAAGGTGCAAGATTGATAAGGAGAGTTTTCAGAATTCAGCGTATATTGCGGGAAAGACAGGATCCTTTAGCTCAGCGCGACAGTGTGCTCATAGAGAGATATCGATTTTCCCGTGAGGGTATTATTCACTTAACCAACTTGTTGACGAGGGGGTGCAGGACCACCACCTGTCTTTTTTTGCTCTGCCCTTTTCTTGGTTGCCTTTATAAACAAACAAACAGATTATTTCAGGGTCTCTTTTCAAGAGACTAAAAGCAATATAAGTGATAAATATTACCATTCTGTAGAATATTCTTATTTCACTTTTACTTGTTCCCATGTTCTCGTGGGTCCTGTTGTGGCTCTGATGTGAAAGAGGATATAATATAA